TAAATAAATTTCTACCTTAGTGTTTGGTACTAATTAATTTTTTGCCCACACTAGCCTTAATTAGTAGCATATAATGCTCGCACCGGTCGAAAAATACATGCTGGTTGAAAACTGTGGCGTTAATCAATACGATCTTTATGCTTTGAAATATATATTTTTTAAAATTTATATAATTTGGTCCCTTTAAGTGCATATTAGGTCCCAATACTTTACTTTTGTTTCAATTAAGTCCTTATTTCCAAATTAGTACCTGTTATGAATTTTCTTTTTCATTAATGATTTTTATGTCTATATATTAAATATTTTTTCACATAGGCAAGCACAAGCACACACATTTATAATTTAAAATTATATATTTATAGTAAAATTTTTGAAATGATACAAAATATGATCCAATATACTAATACACACCAGATGGTAACAAAACCAATATGCATGACCATACAGCATTGACAATGTTGATTCTCTTCTTTCAACTTACTAAAATAAAATGGTGCAACATGGAATATGTAGTTTTTATTTGTTTTTAATTTAATTTATTTTGATAAGGTGACTGATAATAGTCATTTTGTTAAACAAATTAATAAACTCTTAAAATTAGTTTCAAATCTCAGCATGGATTAAGTAGCTAACTTTAAGTATAATTGTCCTTAAATTGGTATTAATTAATCATATTTGGGGTTCCATTTTTAGTGGTATGGGGGATGAAAATTATACTCCCAGCCAGAAGGCATGTTAGAAGCAAAATCCTAAAGTTCCCAGGCAAAATGGAGTGAGCTCAATATTCAAGAGGAAATTAACTGCCTTGCCATTTCAAGGGTATGCTATCCTTTAAAAATTAAAAAATACAATCAGGTAAATTTTAGACGGGGGGTAATGTATGTTCTTGAGACCAGCATGGAAAGGACAAGAGACGCTGAGAAAAACCGAGGGGACAAAAAGATTGCTTACTAGAGTTAAAGCCTGAAGGCAGATGGTCTGATTTTTCAGGGCATAGTGCCCTAGGGAGCGTTTAGATCAGGAAACCTTCATTTTCGTCTTTTATTTCAACTCTCGAGACAAAATTTATTGAAAAATGATAAATATAAAATGTTATATAATATTATAAATTTTTAATATAATTTTTCTTATCATCATAATAATTATCGAAACTTAATAGATAAAACTTTTTTTTTAATTTTTTCTCTGTCAAATTAAATTGAGTTAACTCTAAATGATTAACTTATTTAAATGATATAGTTATACATAATATTTTTAATAAGAGTAAGATTTTGAACTTTAGTTGTAGGCAATAGGCATTCAAATAAAATGAGTAAAAAGATGATAAATGAGTCATTTATAATTATTATCTCATAAATAATTTATTTTTTATTTTTTTAAGAATAATATAAATAAATATATAAATTATTATTAAATATTTAATTTTTTTAAAAAGGAGAAAAATTAGGATTATTTTGACACTAATAGAATAATAGTATATCTTAAATTATTTTAATTTTAAAAAATCAATTGCGTTAATAGTATAACTAAAACTTATTTTAAAAATAAATTTCCACTAACATTTCCATCAAAAATAAATTTCAACTCCTATGGAAACAGCAGTGGATTACATAGAAGTTTGTGAAATTGTGAAATGCAAAGGTTGGAATAGAATAGAATAGAATAATCGAAAATCAAAGGGTTCCTACTTTTTTTTTTTATATTTTAAGGATAATAGTTAAGAAATTAGTGTAAGTTAATTGTTAGTAATTGATATTCAGATTGGATAAATATTCTACCCCTAAAATGAGGCGCGTGGCTATTAGGTTACTTTTTGATAGAATTTACGACTATGGTAAAACTTAAAATTTCAACTATCTCATCCAAACACTTAAGACTTAAGGTCAAAACATTGAATCTAAAAGTTTGATTGCAAAAAAGTTCTTACTATTCATACATGGACAGTTCAGGGGTCAATTGACGATGGATGATAGATTTTTGCAGTTGTACTGAGTCCTTCTCTGCAAAGCCGAGGAATGCGGGGATTTTATTTCAAACCTGCAAGCAAATTAGGTACGGACAATACAATTAACAGTAATGCTGTCCAAACTTTTTATATCCTCCATCACACTTCTGCTTACACAGTAATTTTTTTAATTTAATGTCAGAGTGTTTACAAATTAATTTTTGCTAAATATTGAGATTAATTTTTTTCTTAACTTTTTTAGGCATTAATTTTAAATTTTAAAGTTTAAATTTTATTTATAAAATAATATTTATTTATTTATTAATAATCAATCTTCAAAGTGAAAAAAGTTTTCTTCCACATAACTTAAATGCTGCTTACACAGTAATTAAATTTTAAAGTTTAAATTTTATTTATAAAATAATATTTATTTATTTATTAATAATCAATCTTCAAAGTGAAAAAAGTTCTCTTCCACATAACTTAAATGCTGCTTACACAGTAATTAATAGATCTCCTCTTACTTTTTTTTTAAATAATAATTTTTTTAAAAAAATTAATACTACTCGTACTACGTAATACTCTTCTGTTGGAAGATGGCTCTAATTGTGATTTAAAAAAAAAAAAAAACTCAAAATTGTCCTAAATAGTTTAAGTAATTAATTTTTCTGTCCTATGGTAGTTAGTCCTATAATTTTTCTACTTCTAAAGGTGGGTAAATTGGTTTTTGAAAATGCTATAGTACATACTACTTTCTAGTTTTTTGAAATTTTTTTTAATTATTTACTTCTTTACAAAAATTTTTAGAATTGTCTTTTTTTCTTTAATCAAAGATAAATAAATAAAAATATAAATGTTATTTAAAATTTTTGAGTAGTAGTAGTTTCATTCTATAAAATAATTTTCAATTAAATGTTTTTAAATAATCTTTTCATCTCCAAATAAATGTCATTTTTATTTTAAAATAAATAAATATTTTTTATTTTAACTTTATCCTTATTTATTAACTTTAATTTTTTATCTTATTAACAAAGTTTATTTTTATCTTTTTTTAAGATAATATAAAAATAAATATATAAATAATTTTAAATTCTTAATTTGATGGATAATAATAATAATAATAATAATAATAAGAGGGAAATGGACTCCTTTGGGTCAATGCACATCGACAGCTCAAAGCTCACACAAGTGACTATTGGCTATTTTGTAGGGGTCATGTGTAAATAGTATGTACCCTAAAAAAGGTGCCGTGTGGTTAACATGCATGACCAACGTACCAAAATGTAACTTTGTATGCATCTCCAAATTAACCCAATCAAAGTGAGGAACAAAATGGGGTTTGTTTCCTTTTTCTTGATACGTATCGCATTCATATTTTATAGCGGACAATTGACATGAATTAACTCTATATTTACGTGGGAGCCCCGAAAACCACAAGTCCACAGCTAAATGGGTTAAGGAAAGGTGCATAGTATAGTGGTGGAGTACAATGGTAGAGACAAATTAGAATCTCGCATCAAATACAAGGGTTAAATCCTTCTATCATAAGAATCATTTATTTTGAAGGCAAAATTATAATTTTTATAAGTGTACAATATCTTATAATAATATATAATTCAATCCCTCATGTCGATATATAAGGTGAAACGATTCAATTTAAAACTTTAAAAATCTCGTAATGTTTTTAACTATTGAATCAAAATATGACAAGAATAAAGATTTGAAACGTCTTCATTAGGCATCGAGAGGGAGTTGGAACATTGCTCTTCCTGAATAAATTTTACTAGGCGTCAATGGTGCATTCAGAGTACGAATAACAAGAAGGCTCAAAATAACCAAATTTAGCTGAGGTCAAAATGAAGTTGGCTTGATGAGCTTTACAATAAATGAGATCTAAACTAATAGTCTGTGTATGTAAGGCATTTTATCACACAATTTAATTTCATACCCTCCACGTCTTCAATTGCCCACCAACTCCTCGTCGTATGAAACAGAAGATTGTGGACTGGGGCTTCATTGCATTTTCACCTTTCAGCTTCTGCAGTAGAAATGGGACATATTGTTGGGACTGGTGATTGGTGGGGAGAAATGGTGATGGAGAAAAGTTGTGTTTGTAAAGTGAAGTTGATGATGGTTTGCAGCAGCTGGTGGTGAAGTGATTGATGAAGATGAGAATCCTGATGATGCTGCGGTAGGGAAGAGTGGCACGGGATTTGCCCCACCATAGGGTCCTTGGCCTTGCCATGCCCACCTTGGTGAGGAATCTACTCCCCTCTTCTCTATTGCTTTTTCCTGCAAGCAACAAAGAATGTACATTATAGATCAATGCTAGAAAAGTGCTGATTGAAAAAAATAAAAAATAAAATTTACCTTGAAGACAGGAAAGAAACTGGGATTTGCATTACCCCAGACAAGAGGGTGCTTGAACGTCACAGCCTGGTGATACTGGTAACATGGTTGTTGAACCCTCATTGTTACCGAGGCAGAGTTCTCAATCTGAAAGGAGAAAGAAGTTCCGCGAGTGAATTATGTAGAAGAGGAAAATTAAACCAAATTAGAAATACAAATTTCAAAACTTGATTGTAAAATTACCCTTTTTCCCCTCTCAATAGGCAGGTCATTCCATCTTTGCTGGAAAGGAAAATGGTTTCTACTGTCATTCTCACTTTGAGCTTCAAATGTATGGGGCGGGGCAATCCCCAAATTCAGGTCAAGAACTTGGTTGCCATCTGCAACAAAACAGTTCAGAAATCTCTATACATTGATTGAATATGCACAATAGAATAGACTAGTTTCCAGCAGATTGTACCTCCATTTTCAGATTCAGAAATAAGCTCTGCTTCGTATGAGCTAGGCTCAAAGTTTGTGACTGCTTCCTTTCCATTGCATTTTATGGCAGCCTTGTCATAAGCCCTACAAATCAGAGAAGAACACCAAAAATCATAAGGAAGTTGAACTCTTTTGTAAGGACAAGCTAATAGAAGTAGGAGAGACAGAATTCAAATTCAGGACCTTGCAGCTTCTATCTCGCTGTCGAATAGTCCAAGGTATATATACCTGCAGGAAAGCAATATTTGCTACAAATCAAAACCATGTTTTCTAGGAAATTACCCATGAGTTCATAATTCAACTTCTTGGCTTACTTCCAGCATTTCAAAATAAGATAACTAAGTTGAGTTAAAATCAAAAATAGTTAAATCACAGACTAAACACCTATACCAGCAACAATCCTAGTAGAAAAAGTAAGCCATGAGCAAAAGAATTTCTCACTTCTTGCCCAGAAACTGCCCCATACGAGCTTCCCACCGCCCACATTTGTGCAGTGTTACTCCCCTATACTTAGAGCTCCCTCTAGAAAATCCAGTGCTCTTCCTACGCAGGAGATGCACAAATTCCTCCTTTGTAAAATTACTCATCTGCAACAAAGATTAACACCGCATTAGTTTTGTTATTGAACCAACAAATTATATTAAAGTAGGACAATAACCACTGAATATTGAGAATATTACACTTCCAAGCACAACCCCACCTGCTTCATGTCTTCAACATAATCAGTGACATTAAAATTGATATCAGCATCAACACCGCGGAATTTGATAGCAGCTCGATCATATGCCCTGTTACCATAAACAAAATTTAAACCAGAAATGGCACCCAAAATCATCCAAGCAACCTCAAACTGCACCAGATTTACCTTGCTGCAGCATGTGCAGTGTCAAATCCCCCTACAAAAACAAGACACCCAGCTAATTCCACTAAACTCAAATTAAACAAAATTAGCAAATTCCTCAGAGATAAACACAATTTATAGGGAACAATTCTTACCCAAGTACACTTGCTTCCCACAATCCCTGCATAAAAAAAAAATGGTATAATTAAGAAAAAAAATTAGGCTAATCAGCAATTAGTTGGAGTAATTAACTAACCAAATGTGAGACTCCCATCTCCCAGTCCTGCGATAGAAGGTGACACCACGATACTGCGAGCTCCGGGAGCGGGGACCACGCCTACCTTTCTTCACTTGCTGCCGCGACGGTAGCTGTTGCGGCAGGGCACTGGCGATCCTCTGCTCCGTGTGTCCACCGTGCTCCACCTCGCTGCATCCGAGATCCAACCATTGCCTCCTTGACGATTCCGTTGACTTCCCGCCATCTCCCTCACCGGCTAACGGAAAAAGCGGGATGGTGCGGGAGCGGCTTTCTTCATGGTACTCATCAGAACCACCAACAGCATCACCGTCTCCTTGGCCAGCTTTCAGGATGCTGAAAGTGTAACCAACAGCATCGTCATCTTCGTCGCCAGCGATGTCGGCGTTGACCGCGGAGGAGTCGAAGCTCCCGGAACTCTCCACCTGGCGACCGGAAACCTCCCGTCGCTTCCCTCCGACCACTTCCACACTCAAATTAAGATCCAGCATTATCCAGATTACTTAAACCACACTCCACCGTAATTCAACACCCGTTTTAAACGAATAAAACCAAAAGCAGCCAAACAGAACACCAAAACAAAACGCGAAAGAGAACACAGACTTCGCCGTTCTGTATTTCCCGGCGGAGCTTCCGCTTATGGACTTTTTTTTTTTTTTTTTTTACTAAAGAGAGAGATTTTGTTGGTTATGGTGCTTGGTAATGGAGCAAAGAACAAAGAGAGGAAGGAGAGCCCCTCAAAAAGAGATGATGGGACGTGAGCTTCTATTCCTATTTTTGGTACTTTGGATCTTTTTTCTTTTTTCTTTTTTTTTTTAATTTTCCCTCTCCTTTTGTATAAAAGTGTGTACAAAATTAAAAACGTCCTTTGGATTTTTTTTAGAGTCTCGGTATAACAAATTAAATTTTAATTAATATTTTTAAGAATTAACTAAAATGACAGATCAAACTCCAATATTGTATTTAATAAGGCAAACAAAATGTTACTTTTTTTTATTTTAATTGATTATTTTATTTTTTAATTTATTATGATATAAAAAATATAATTTTT